TACACTAACTTCTGCTTTTCAACAGCACCTGAAGCATCAAAAATAAAATGTAATGGCAAACCCATTACCTATTAATATTGGACCACTACATTAACCGACTAACGAAAGTACATTTCCAAGCTGAAAATAATATTTTCTGGGTGGCTTCAAAACAGCGCACAGGCAAGTCTGGGAATCTGCCCACCCACCATCCGCCATAGGCAACAAAATCAGAGCGCAAGCTCTGATCTAGCGTTGTACTGGCGAAATGCCCGGTAATATTTATTTTTCCAGGTGTCTCATATGTGTGACGGCCATTGTAAGTGGGTTAACCTCCCCATCAAATCTGCATAGTAGAATCTTGAATTTGTTGGGAGGAATATTAAATAACATGCTTGGATAAAATTAATTTTGTCCAGACTCACGTAAAGACAATCTACACTAGACACATGAAGAAAACTAATTATATGTCAATAATCATATTCACACATATATCATCCAACTTACCAATCATTACTGCCCTGCCCTTTGGATCAATGGCAAGATACTGGCCAGGAACAATGCGTCTGCAACCACTTTTACCAAATGTCTCCATGTGGATGCGCTCAAACTGGTTTTTAGCCTGACTATATTCTAGAATGGTGATTCTGCCAGAGTCAGATCCCACCACAACATAATCTGAAATTATGAGAAGTGGTATGCTTCATATTTCATTATCTGAATTTAATCAAAGCTTTTAATATAAGTAAATAAATGTACTCAACTACCTTTGATCTCTTACAGCTAATCAAGGGATCATCTCACAATCAAATGGTCACCAGACATTCATGGGCTCATGTCTTGGTCTGCCTAAGCACAGCCCTCTTCCCACTGCTTTTCTGAATTAACTAAACTGAATAACCAAGGTTTGGTATTCTTCTTAACTAAGATACAAAAGAAGTGTATGATGATTCAAATCAACATGGTATTTCTAAATAAAAAAAGTTCCAAATAAAGATGTTATTTGAAAGACAAATATTTCTAAATTACATTTTTGATAAAAGACCCAACTTTGAATACTACCTTCCATAAAGCAAAATGAAGAAAGTCAAATGAGTATTTTAGACAGAAATGTATCCCTTAGATTTAACATGTAAATCACCTAATTGATAAACATACCTTTATTTCCACCAGTCAATCTGAATGCCATCAGTGAACGAATAACACCAAATATGTCTGTTGTTAAAATGGTGTGTACCTGTCAAAAATCCAGAAACTATAAGATAAAATTTCTTTGACTAGTTTCAAATCTTTTTATATGACAAGAATATTGAATACACAATATTTAGAAACAGTGCCACATAATCATTAAACAATAATTATCTATATTTGAAACAGACAAAATAGTAATACACAGCAAGTAAATATTTCCATAAACACTCAAAACTTCTCACTTCCAGTATTTGGTTATAGTGCTCTTCCATAACAAGCTATCATTATTATTGTTAATGCTTCATCTTAACCTATTTCGAGAAACCAACTCAATCATCTTCCTTGTGAGTTTGGATTCAAACAGGTAGAAAAAATAATTAAAACCCATATATGCGAAACTGAAATCGACGAATACTGAGGGTGAAATTTAGGGCAAGTCAAAGTGATTGAATTGATTGGCGATGCAGCTTGTAAAGGATTAATGATAAAGAGTAGTCATGAGTTAGAATGAATTACACATAAATAACATCTTTATAGTTTATTAGGTCGAGAATGTAAAGAAGGGCTGTACAAAGATCTATTCAAATGTAGGAAGAAAGGCTTCAGCATTTAACCTCTGCTAAGATCCCAATTGGGCCTGGTATTGCAGCATTGAATGGTAAAAATTATAGATTAACGTAAATTGGTCAGAAAATTTATGATACAAATATAAAACATGAAAATGTATCAATCACATACTTAACCTTTTTCACTGCCCACCTCTAATATTAAATATTTAAAGTGTTTTTCTAAGAACCATACACGCAAAGTCTTTTTTTCTAGGCGATAAAGAACAATAAAGTATGATTATGTAAAGAGATGAGAATTATTTAAACAGGTAATAGATATTACATTTGGAGGTCAAATATATAGCGGAATAACTTCTGAGATAAAAACTGAATGAAACCTCCCTAACAAATTTAAGCGAAAAATTCTAACAAAAATGCTTGAAGTTTTTCGGAGAAAAATTTTTAAATATTTGTTGAGATTTCTCACCAAATAGTAGGTAGAAATTCAATATATGGATTCAATGTTATTGCTGTTGAGAAAATGTGACATAGCCAAAAAAATGAACCGAATAATGATAGAAAAATAAGCATGAACACTAGTAAGAATACAAAAATAATAAATAAACTCTATAAAAAAAAAAATTGGCCTCATTAAAGAACACTGATATAATAGGGTATAGACCTATGAAGACAAAAATATTGATGATTTTCTCTGTATATGGAAAGGTAAAACCTCGATGATTTTATCAGTCTATATTGGTTACTTTTGGGTGTTGGGGGATTTAATATCATCTTCTCCGCGATATAGAAGTCGTTTCAGCAGTTCCATTTAATCAAATTAATGAATGAATTATAAAAAAATTGTAATTAGAAATAAACTAAATAAAAATTACAATTTATGACGTTTGAGAGTATTCATATAAAGAATCACCAATATCAATCAACAATACAAACAAAAGATTGACACCATTTGAGAGAGAGATAGCCTAGAGTGATCACTTTCCCAAAATTTCAATAGCATAAGAGGACGAGGAGAACCAATTAAGAAGTATATTTGGAAATTATAGAATATTATCAAAAAACTCATCTGCTGGAAATCCACATGTTCCACCGCCTCAAGAAACTACGATAGTTGAACTAAATTAACAATCAACTCGTTACACGGACCTATTTATATGAAATGTATACCAATTAATGGGACCAATTAAGTAATAATGTCTCTCGCTGGACTAAGGTTGTAAGCCTATATTATTCAGTAGAGCAAGCACTAAATCCTTAATTATAATCTGGAACGCTCACACAAACATCTATCGTATTACAAAATTTAATGGCATTTTTTTTTACACTTAATTCTTTTAACAAATGAACGACCCAAAATCAGGTAAGTGCTTTCTGCATTTATTGTGAAGCTCCTTGATAATGGGGATAGAATTAAAAACCCGTATATAAAAAACAAAATAAAAACAAAATATAAAAACAACACATATGCCAAACAAAGAGAAAAATACGCACCATCTTAGGCGACCTTTAGAGGAATAACAATCCCAGACTATCATACCTTAGGGCAACTGGATAAAAAAATTCGCAACATTTCTTACGAGCGGTTTCCTATAAGTGTACCTTGAAATGAGTGTGTTGCCGGTGGAGGTTTTTTAACTATTCAACTCTGGTGTCTTTGGTCTATAAAAATGTATATGTGAGAAATTTCTAATGCTATATAATAGGGCGATTGGCGCTTTTATGGTAGGGGGCTCTGAGGAAGGACTTCTAAGCGAAAAAGCAACGAAACCCGCCCATAATTTGGTAGGGCGTGACATTGATCATACCCTGGGAAATCTAATAAATATCACTGAGCGTTAAAAAGATGTATGTCCTTCGAAGCGTAAATGTAAACTGATTAGGTATACTGGAGAGAATAACCAGGGTATTATATTTGATATAAGAAACAAAATGTTGTTGTTGTGAAAGGTTTAAATAAATGCATTAAATATCAATAGAAAACAATACGATAGTGTAAAATACCACAAGATTAAAATAAACATAAAAAAAGGAGTCATCGAAGTGTTTATGTTAATTCAGAGATGAATCTCATGTAAAATTTGACACAAACCTAACTACGCACAATAAGTTTAAAAAATGAATAATCATCCCTTATTTAGTAGGAACTAACATAACGACTTTTCATATCTAAACGGAATATAAATTACTTTATTAGTTTTCCCACAGTGCTCAAATACTAAATCGTCATTCCATAACTATTGTCCAAATAGTCAAACAATTCGCAAGGGGTATGAGTGTAGGAGATTGAAAATGATTAGCGGCATTTTTTTGAATCCCATTTTATTTTATACTAAAAAAGAATACAAGTAAAAATTTTCGTATTAAAGTGCATTTGAAGCCCTAGGTGTGGTTGTTGCCGATGTTTTTGCGTAATTTTATGGTAGCTCAAGACCTGATGGTATAACGTCTAAACACACAGTATTTGTTAATTTTTATCGGTGGAAGCGCACAAAACAGGAGTGGGCATAGCCCTTTTCAACTCTAGAACAAACAAGACTGGCACACACAAACGAGCTCAAAAATTTCCATATAGTTTTTTATTTTCAGACAGAGCAGGTATTTACTGATGTACCTATTATCAAATCTTCTATGTGAAATAAATGCGTGTATCTTGCTTATACATCCAAAAGTTTAATTAAAAATTCCGAACAATCTTAACGGGTAACATTTTCATATTGAAATTCGTCTTTACATACGGGTCCTAACTAATTTCAAATCAAATCAAATATATTACCAATTACATTAAAAAACGCTGTGATGTACCCGGACCGTTGAAGCGAAATGGTAACGGAAGGATGATTCATTTTGGTTCAATCTTAAACTCCTTAACTACTGTATAGAGGCTATTTTCAAACATGTAGTTAACTGTCGTATATGATAGACATACCAGGTTACTTCGTAAAAACTAAAAATTATAACCAGTGAGTCTTATCGGAGGAGTAAAAGCATCCTTAAAATCATTATTGTATATAATTTTAAAGGACACAAACATTATAATTGTTATTTAAAGATGACTATTTCACAAATACTCACAATATCGTCATAAAGGTAATACCGTTGTTGACCATCCACCGACATTGTGGATTCCTTTGATAGTAGGGTATAGGGTCCGGGGTTCCCAGTGTCACTTAAAAGAAATTGGGCTCCATGAAACATTCACTCTAAACTCAATAATCTATTAGTGACTAGTCAATTTGTCATTGTCAATACCATAATGCGGAGCTGATTGCAAACAAGCAAAGGTCCACATTGTGTTGTAACGAATCTATTTGCGCAGAAATTTTCATTAGTGGACAGCAGAAGAGACCCCTTGCCCGAGGTGCTAAGCCATGAGGTCTTTGTGTCAGGCTGACACAAGACAACGAACCGCCATAGTGGGAGCCTTATAACTCATTTGGGTAGTCTTCCTTTCATCCATCAGAATGTAACCCTATTACTATAATCAAGCTTATCTAGCAATTTGATCTCCTCGTGTAACGCCCCCTCATCCTGGGACGGTCCCCATTAAACTGTTTTATGTTCTATCCGCACTCTCTTTCCCGGGTATCCGCTTCTAATAAGAAGGTGTGGGGTCTCATTTCCGCTCTATCTGTCCTCTTCAAAACTTAATTCCCACCTGGTTTAAAAAAATCCATGGGTATCCACCATAAATCTTACAGTAAAAAAATCCACAGGAAACTCCACGCACCTAAGCCCCTTGCCATGGGACATGGGAGAGTTTCAATCGCACTCCTGGACGCCACAGCTAATATACAAATACATTATTACTGGAATAGATACATTGTATTCGTCCGCAATGGAAATGTCAAAGGAAAAAGATTTCCAGAGGTATTGTGGAATGCCACTTATACCCCCTTATGTATTATAGTATATACAACCATAATATTTCCGCACGTTGGACACCTGAGGTTAAGTGTAACAATAATAGCAACATAAACCCCGATCTTCATGTTTACCAAATTGGCCCTTGAGTGAAATCTGTCCCTTAGTTAGGGCTAATTAGATAGAATATATAAACCACAAGTATCATTCTATATGACGATGATGGATGTTGACTGATATTAACCCCAATAAAAACCTTCTTTTATCAAAGTTACTCATATGAAATCAAGAGTTTAGGTTCTTTCAATCTAATAATCTTGTAAGTTTTTGAGGGGGAACAATCGGAAGAACTGTAAATGTGTTTTTATTGCTTTTACCATCCATAACTTAAAATTTAAATTTTTTCAGATTACCGCCCGGAAGCCTTATTTACTGGGGGACAGGATAAGGTTTCAATCACATAATTAAATGATTATTTCTAATTAAACTTTTCTGCTTATCCTCGTAGTAAACACCCGGGCTAAACATATTTAATACATAATTGATATCAATAAACTTTTCTGCTTATCCTGTAAGTAAAACTGCTAAACAATATGAAGACCTTATACATTTATAGAAATATT